GTGTGTGTGTGTGTGTGTGTGTGTGTGTGTGTGTGTGTGTGTGTGTGTGTGTGTGTGTGTGTGTGTGTGTGTGTGCGCGACCATGTGGATTTCTTAACTTGAGCACAACTACTGAAAGAACTGTTATACCTGCAAAAGGGGAAAATTGGACCTTTCCATGTAATGTTTCAGTGGTGATGGTCATGTTCATATATAGATGAACTACTAAAACGTGTGTGTACACCTCTAGTAAGAAAGAAGATTCCTTTAAATTATTTAAACTAATTTTGACTACAAATTACATTACCTGAGGTGTATTGGCTACTGTATTTCATAGATTTGTAAACTGGAAGGTGTTCTACTTTGTCAGAAGTGAAGTTTCTCAAGGCCTGGGTCTTAAATCATGGCTTTCTGTAATGAAAAAAAAAATTGTAGGTAGCAAATCAGCTGTTGAAATTAGCTTCTTGTTAAATGTCTGTGCCAAGACTATTTTAAAAAATGTTCACATCCTTAGTACAAAACCTAGTAGTGTTCAATCAGAAGCAAGTTCACCATGTGACACTAAAACTAATAAGCAGAAGAATGATTTGTTGCAAAGCAGAGATGCGAGTGAAGAGCTGGATGCTGACTCAACACCATCCTTCATAACCTTCTAATACAGCATGGTGCGCACCTCATTAACTGTAGATTTAACTAGTAGAAACCAATATTTAATGTGGTGTTTAACAGTTCACAAAGAAAAAATCTTTATCAAACTTAACAATAGGTTGTCTTATGGCTGTATGTGTTGGGAGACGTCCACACTTTTGTACAGGAGGCACCCTGAAGTATACTGAGTGGCCCTTAAGCTAAAACAGCTTCAGTTCAACCCCTTTTTCTAGAGCTTTGCTTTATAATCTGCAGTTTTAGGCCTGTCATTCAGTGATCCATTGCAGTCCAAGTTGTGTGTAAAAATGAGGTTGCAGTTGGTTGTGTTTTATGTGAAACGATGTGCTTCTCATCTGTCTGCTCATTTTGGGGATACTTGGACCTACATGGCATACATAGCTAAACTGATGGACTGTTTCATGGGTGTCTACTTAGCGTGGGCACAAACAGATAAAAATTAGGAGAGACTTAATAAAACATGAATTTAAACTCCTATGTGATCTGGCAGCTCAGGCATCTGCTTTTCTTGTTGGAAGGGGGACTAAGAACAGAATTGTATCTAAAAATATCTGTAGAAGGTTTGAAAACAATAGCTCCATTCAGTTACTTGAACCCCATTTCTGAAGGAGTTTTTTTCCAAACAGCTGATTCATAGTCTTCAGAAATACTGAGTCGTCATCTCTTTAGAGACCAGTGATGCATCTTATAGGGCAAAATTTGGTCTTTTACAAAATTTCAGAAGTGTTTGTATAAACCAGTCTGTACATATAACACTTTGTTCCCATAGTGACATGTGGTGGCCCAGTGTACTTGTACCAAATAAGTTAGCTGACCTTTGTAATTAATTTAATGTTGGTGTGTAAAGTACAAAGACAATAACACTCTTAAGAACATCTGTTGAGAACAAAAAGGAACCCTAGTTATTGGAGCACTCTAGGCTACAAAGTTGTTCCCTAAGGTTTTCAATAGGTGTTTGCACCTGGTCTTATCTCAGTTTTAGCCCTTTTGATCAGTTCATCATTTCCCTGCTGGAAAACATCAGCCAGGTTCATGCCTGTTTTCCAAGGAAAATTAATGCTTGAATCTTGTATGCATGTAACTCTTGCCAGAAAGGTGGTAAACCTCTAGCTTTTGCCCTTTTATTGCTACCAGAAAGGATTTAAATGGTAACTTCTCTACAGTATTGAGTTCTAAGTGTTCATAGAGGTTTTGAGTATTACCTTAAGATGAATTTTAACACTGTTAGTCCAAGACAGATAAGTCGCCATGAAATTGGAATCATATACTTTTTGGCAGTTTGGAGGTGTCTTGTGTGTTTAACTGATGGATAGTTTCATAGGAGGTGAATCACTGTTATGGGTAAGTACTCAGCAGGACAGAACAGAAGGATAACAAATAATACCATATTTTCTTGTGTACAGCATGCCTGGGAATATAATATACACCTTGTTTGTGAAAGGCAGAATGAAGAGAAAAGATCTTTCCTTGCAATAAGCAGCTGAGTAGCTGTTTGTCTCCCAGATTTTACTTTCACATTTGCCCAAATAAGCAGAAACGATTCTTACCATATTTCTTACAGGTCACGTGCACCACAGTTTCCAGCAGCTGTTGGTGGGGGGTGTTGCATGCAAGTCTCTATGTGGCAAAATGTCAATATTGTCTTTTATAGAGCAGATGTTTGGCAAAAGTGAACAATGCTGGTTAGGTCCCTTGACTTGCATAATCCTAAAACATGACAGTATAAAATAAGATTTATTCTAGCACCTACTAAGAAATGTGAAAGAAAGTAGCTTGGATTCTTTTTGCTTATACATCTACATTGTGAGTATTCAAGGAAAGTGTAGTTACTATAGACTGCTCACTGAAAGTGGCAGCTATCAGCACAGCAGTGTTAAGTTAATATGTGAATTAAACATACACTGAACTAAGGCTCTTACTAAATATCTCCACATGGAATACTATTAATTTCTGGTCACCCTGCCTTGAAAAGACAGCAGCAGCAGAAGGAATCCAGAGATTTATGGCAAACATGAAAGGCAATGGGAAACCATTTCATGAAATGGTGAAAAAGTGGGACTATCAAAGAAAGGACAGTAAAAAGAGAGAGCCTTACTGTTTCTCCTAATGAATAATATGAAATAGGCAAATTGAGTCGTCCTATTTACTTGTTTTTCCCACGCTCGTGTGGTAGGTTTGGAACGCCAGGCATGTGAGAATTTCTGTATAATCTGAGTAATCTTCGGCATGACACAAGAGGTGAAGGATTAATCCTGAGCAATGCAGTGTGTGTTGCGTGTTGGAACGATGGTCACGAACCTCTGGCTGGATCGTAGTTTACACGTGGGGTGACCTCTTCTGAATTGGTTCCTAGCTCTAACATTTGTGTGGGTTGTTTTTGTCTTAGCTTTGCCTTTTTTATTTGATTATTCTTCTAATACTTACTGCTGCTTTTCTTTTCTTTTCCAGAGCTGAAAAAACAGAAGTCCTGAGTGAAGATCTGTTACAGGTACTAAACTCATTTAATGCACATCCTTTAAATGTTTCTTTATATGTGCTGCTTGTGAAATGGTTTTAAGATTACAGGACACAAAGTAGTGTTTGTGGCTTGGTCTGTTCCCTCAGTCTGTGGGAAGGCTGTGATACAACTTAGTTTCTCTTCTTATTTATTGAGACATGTGATGAACAAAAGAGGATTTGAAAGCTGAAGCATATTGAGCAGAGATCCAGGCTGAAAATAAAGACACTAAAGCCTTGTACTGAGCAAATGGTTTTACAGTATGAGTTTTTGATCAATTTTAACTGAAGAATTGCTTTCCTCATGAATTTTGGGGACAATTTTATAGGTGTTTGGGGGGGGGGTGATTGAGTATGGGAGGGGGAAGGCTATAATTTTTCTGTCCAGTGTTCTTTCCTGATAATTTCATGAAAAAGTTGACTGATATAGGAAGCTGTGTAAATACCTGTTGGCTTTCAGACCCCCCAGTAATGCCAGCAACCCTAATAAAAACCCCTTTGGAGTTGCAAATAAGCCCTGGTCTGCTGCTGATTTTAAAGTTTATGCAGTAACGGTCCTCGTAGTTGTTGTGCTAATAAATTGCTGTAATCTGAGTTGCAATGGAAAATACTCCCAAAAGGTGCATCACTTGTACCTGGTTTCTTTTT